GGCTTTATCACTGATTAAAGGACTTTACAATGGTCTAGTTTCTTTTCACTTACATGTACAAGCCTGATTCAATTTCATCTTTACAATATACAGAAGTGTACAACCCCATCGTAACTTCCACCCTCTCTTTGACTAATCCATTTTGGCTTTCTGATAGCATGGAAAACGAGACAAGTTCTTCAAAATATCATGTTTCAGGATTTCAAAGCTGTAAGAGACTGTACATGTCTACTGGTCTGACTCTTTTTAGATGAAGGCACTAAAGTCTACGGGGAAGTCAATGACCCAAATCAGGCAGCCAATTTAAGGGAGAATAAAGACTATAACTGGATAGCCAGACCGCCAGTCCTGGGCTCCTCACCTCCTCCAATCACTCCCCTTCCCAATGATAGCTGAAGGTTTCTGATTCTACGTGCTGCTTCAGGAAATAATTTTTTAAAGGTTTATTGATATAATTTACAAACCATATAATTGATCAACTCATAGTATACAATTAAATGACTTTTTACTATATTCACAGAGTTGTAAAACCATTATTACAACCAGTTTTAGAACATTTCATCACCCCAAAAAAAACCCTCATATCCCGTCACCCTCCAACCCTCTCACCCCCTAATCCTAAGCAACCACTTTCTGCCTCTATAGATTTGCCTATTGTGAACACTTCATATAAAAGGAACCATACAATACGTGGTCCTTTGTAACAGGTTCATTCACTTAGCATAATGTTTTCAAGGTTCCTCCATGTTGTAGCATGTATTAGTACTTAATTTCTTTTTATGGCAGAATAATATTCCATTGTATGGATATACCACATTTTATTATCTATTCATCGGCTGAGGAACATTTGGGTTGCTTATAGTTTTTGGCTATTATGAATAATGCTGCTAGGAACATCTGTGTACACAGTTTTTTTCTTTCATTTTTAAATTTCACATTTTTTAAAACTGTATTGTGTTTCAGGTCAAAGTTTACAGCACAAATTAGTTTCTTATTCAAATATTTATACACAAATTGTTTTGTGACATTGACTGCAATCCCCACAATGTGTCAGCACTCTCCTCCTTACCCGTTATACCCCAGGTCCCCTCGTGTCCATTCGTCCAGGTTTCCTGTCCCTTCCCGTCTTCTCATCTTTGCATTTGGGCAAGTGTTGGCCCTTTGCTCTCATATACTTGGCTGAACTCAGAAGCATGTTCCTCATGTGTTGTATTGTTTGTTTTATAGGACTGTCTAATCTTTGGCTGAAACGTAGACTTCAGGAGTGGCTTCAGTTCTGAGTTAGCAAGATGTCTGGGGGCTACAGTCTCGGGGGTTCCTCCAGTCACCATCAGACCAGTAAGTCTGGTCTTCTTTTTTGTGAATATGAATTTTGTTCTACATTTCTCTCCCGCTTTGTCCAGACCCTCTATTGTGATCCTTGTCAGAGTAGTTGGTGGTGGTAGCTGAGAACCATCCAGTTCTTCTGGGCTCAGACTGGTGGATGTTGTGGTTCATGTGGTCCATTAGTCCTTTGGACTAATATTTTCCTTGTATCTTTGTTTTTTTTCATTCTCCTTTGCTCTAGACATGATGGGACCAATGGATGTATTTGAGATGGTTGCTGGCAAGCTTTTAAGACCCCAGATGCTATTCACCAAAGGAGGACGTAGAACATTTTCTTTATGAACTATGTCATGCCAATTGACCTATATGTCCCCTGAGACCATGGTCCCTAACACTCAGCCCCAGTAACTCGGTCCCTCAAGGTGTCTGGATGTGTCTAGGAAGCATCTATGGCTTTGCCTTGGTCAAGTTGTGCTGACTTCCCCAATATTGTGTGTTGTCTTTCCCTTCACCAAAGTTAACAGTTGTCTACTATCTAGTTAGTTATATCCCCTCCCCACTACTCATCTCCCTCAACCATCAAAGATTGATCTTTTTCTGTGTGTAAACCTCTTCTTGGGTTTTTACAACAGTGATTTCATACAATATTTGTCCTTTTGTGATTGACTTATTTCACTCAGCATAATGTCCTCCATGTTATGAGATGTTTCACGGATTCATCGTTGTTCTTTATCATTGCATTGTATTACACTGCGTGTCTGTACCATAGTGTGTTTATCCATTCATCTGTTGATGGGCACTTAGGTTGTTTCCATCTTTTTGCTATTGTGAATAATGCAATGAACATGGATGTGCATGTGTCTATTCGTGTGACAGCTCTTATTTCTCTAGGATATATTCCTAGGAGTGGGAGTGCTGGATTGTATGATATTTCTATCTCTAGCTTTTTAAGGAGGCGCCATATTGATTTCCATAGTGCTTGTACCATTTTACATTCCCATCAGCAGTGCATAAGAGTTCCAATCTCCCCACAACCTCTCCAACATTTGTGATTTTCTGCTTTTTTGATTTGTGCCAATAATGTCGGGGTGAGATGGTATCTCATTGTAGTTTTGATCTGCATTTCTCTAATGGCTAATGATTGGGAGCATTTCCTCATGTGTCTTTTAGCTGCCTGGGTGTCTGTGTACAAAGTTCTTTGTGTTGACATAAGCTTTCACTCTCTTGGCTACATACCCAGGGTGGAAATGTTGGGTCATACTATAAATCTGTGTTAAACTTTTTTGAGGAACTGTCAAACTGTTTTCCAAAGGGATGAACCATTTCATATTCCCACCAGCAGTGTATGAGGGTTTCAATTTCTTCATATCCCCACCAAAACTTACTATCATCTATCTTTTTGATTCTAGCCATCCTACTGGGTGTGAAGTAGTTTTGATTTGCATTTGCCGGATGACTAATGATGCTGGGCATCTTTTCATGTGCTTATTGACCATTTGTATATTTTCTTTGGAAAAAAGTCTATTCACACCCTTTGACTATTTTGGGTTATTTATCTTTTTATTATTGAGTTGTAATTTTCTTATTTATTACTTTATCAGATACATGATTTGCAAAAATTTTCTCCCATTCTTTGGATTGTCTTTTCACTTTCTTGATAACATCCTTTGAAACACAAAAGTTTTAAATTGTGATGACATTCATCGGACAGGAATCTTCTTATCTTTCCCAGTTTGAGTCAGTAATAATAATTTAAACTTTGGGATTCAAAAGAACTTGAAACAGCTGTATCTGTATATGTGGGAGAAGGTTCCAGGGCAGGGTGACACCACCTAGATCATAGCCCCTATACCTAGAAGATAGCAGCTACTATATAAATGAGTTAGCCAGTTAAGAAAATGTTAAGAAAAAGTACCCATACTTCTATCCATAACTGAAAAGCTTACAATGAAGGTGGAGTAGGGGAAAAGGCACACATACACAAAAATACAAGCCCAAAATACTCCTTGAAAGTCCTCAATAGCTTTCATTTCAGTTATTCAACAAACATTTACTATATATGTAAGATCACCGCCTACTAGATATCTCTACGAGAAGACACCTCAAATGTGATGTGTCCAACATTACATTTGCACTTCAGATGTAATGTGTCTAAAGTCATCATCTTCCCTGTTCTCCAACCACCAACACTCCAGACTTGTTCCTCTTCAAGTGTTCCCATTTGGTTAATGATACTATCATCTACCATCTTCTCTGACCTGTAGATGTGCAGTAATATTTTTCTGCAATGTAAGATATTTTCTGCACTTCACCACTGTGCTTGTTATATCTGCCCCCCCTAGCTGTTTCAAGTTCCTTTGAATCTCAATTCTGATTTTATCAAGTAATCTACTAGCTAGTCTACTAGTCTCCAAGCTTCAATTCATTAACAAATGAGTAAAGACAAAGGAACTAACATTTGAGTACCTTCTGTGTGGAAGGTACTTGTACTAGGAACTTTACAGGTAATCTTCCCAACAACTATGTGAGATATGATACCAGTTTTAGAGACAAGAAAACGAAAGGTCAGAGGGGTAAGCTGACATGCCTAAGGTCACAGAGCTGGCTAGTGGTGAATCCAGGATTTGAACCAATCAAACCAAACTGATTGCCGTCGAAGTGATTCAACTCATCGTGACCCTATAGGACAAAGCGGAACTTCGCCGTAGGATTTCTTAGGTTGTAATCTTTATGGGAGCAGATCACCAGGTCTTTTCTCCTGCAGAGCCACTGGTGGGTTTGAACGGCCAACCTTTCAGTTAGCAGCTAAGCACTTAACCATTGTACCACCAGGGCTCCTTGGATTTGAACCAGTTCCATTTAAATCAAAACTCATGATAACAATTTACAAATAGAAAGCCAATTTCTTCAGCATCTCACAAGAACATGACTGAGAACTCTACTTAAGATCAACAGCCACTCAAATCAATATTTTTTGGGCCAAACAAGAAGTCACCTATCATGTGGGCATTCAAACCTTTATTTCACCACCTTGTCCATACGGATCTCAGTGACTTCATCAGATGCATTTTTAAAACCCTGTTTCCTCTTCCAGAATAAAATTTCAATAAAAAGGATATAAGGCTGCTGGTACAACTTATTCTTGGTGAACTCATACTGAATCCTAGTTATCTCTGCTTCCTTTTCTCAGCTTCTACTTGCCCATCTTACTGTATTTAATTCTCATCTCTGAGTATGGGACCAGAAGATCTGAATAAAGAAGAGGCAATCAAGAATTTGGAAAGAAGATAGTCCAACTGAAACTAGTTTGGAAACAAAACATTTCCAAATGAAGACATTTCAATATTTCTTATATTTTGGATATCATAAACAGTTTAAGAATTTTAAAAGTAAGTAAATAAATGGCTTCAGATTGTTCAAAATCTAACAAGAGCATAATTATTCTAGAATTTTGCTCAGATATAGCATACTGAGTATAAAACAAGTTTATCTTCCTTTTGGCTCCAGTCACTTTAGGAAGAAAAGAGAAAGGATATATTTAATTGGGGGACGGGAGGGGTAGGTATTATAGGAAAATAAAGATAAACTCAAAGAAGGGCAGATCCTTTATCCAGGCTCCAAAAAAACAAAAAAAATTTTAAGCATAGAAGTGTTCAGAAAATGAAATACTGTACTTTTATCTCCAGGTAAGATGGATCGGTAAAATCGGTCCTTCTTTTTCTTCTCCTCTGGGTTTGGAGGCAGAGGTTTGGAACCATGGTTTAGGGTTCCAGCATCTTTGCTGCCTGCTCCAATCATAGTGCTGGTGTTTCTCATCGGAGGGGCTGGGGGTTTATCTTGAATGTCTAGGCCGTTATTTGACATTGTCACCACCACCAGCAGCTACTGTAATCAGAAAGAAGCATATAATTCTCTTATTATTTTTGAGCAAAGAGAAATACATGTTAAAATGTTAAAAATAATACAAATTATATAACCCTTCCTTCAGGGCCCCTCAAGCTCTTCCACTGCATACCATGACTACTTCTATCTGACTGCGTGACTATGCGGGCAACAACGCTCAAAGATATAAATGCCTACTCCGTGCCAAGCACTACTCAACATTCCCAAGAACCATGCTTTTCTTTGCACTCCCATATCTGAGGCATTGGTGAGCACAAAGAGCCACCATGATGTGGTTGAAAAAGTAGAAATTTGATCCAGTAAAACTGAGTCTAAATCCCAGTACCACTTACTAGCTTTAGAAAAATTCTATTTATTCATACATATGAAGATTAATTAAAGCAGCTACCAGCATTCCACACGTAGTAATTTCTGTCAACCTCTAATTTTATAACTTTAGGCAAGCCATTTTCCCTCTATGGGATGGACTGTATCAAAGGTCAGCAAAACTGCCTGTTTTTATAAATAGCTTTATTGGAACAAACCACACCCATTCAATTTATTTATTGTCTATGGCTTCTTTCACACTACAACGGCAGAGTTGAGTGGTTGCAAAGTTGAGTAATTTGCGAAGGAGACTGGATACTATAAAAGTCTAAAATATTTACTATCTGGCCCTTTACAGAAAAAGTCTGCCAGCTATATCATCTCTCCAGTATCCCCCTGCTCTAAAATCCTACTTTGTTCTAAATATATGATGGTCAATTTAGTAATCATTCTGTCCTATATGGTGTTGAATTTATTGGCAATCTCAAATGCTTTTGGAAATAGATTAAAAATTTAAAAGGAAGGAAAGAAATTCCTATAATATGGTAACTTTAATGAAGACAGATGTTATTACCTTAAAATAAAAATCCTTAACAATGGGTTGATATGACTGGATCCAGAGTTAATAAAGTTTCTCATTATTCTTCCATGTTAAGTGAAAATTATATCTTTAACCAAGACTATGTAGGATGTAAACTCCCTGGCATCACACACAATAGTGCTTTAGAGACTAATGGCTTCTAAAAACCTGCATGATAATCACCAAGAGCTTTTTAGAAATATAGATACCATGGCTTGACCCCCACCCCCCAACAAATTTGGACTTAGTATGGCTGGGTTAGGGCCAAAAACCTGTATATTTTTTTAAAATTAGTGATTTCAACACACAGCCAGATTTGAAAACCATGCTTAAATTGTCAATTACTTACAATACTATGAATAAAATCTATGGAAGTCTTTTAATATTTTCTAATAAGTGAAGAACTGATTTCCTGTATACAGTTTCTTCCTCAGTCCTTTCTCTACATGCCATCAGTGATCCTAAAACACACCACTTCTCTGCTTAAAACCTTTTATTGACATCCCAGAATAAAAGCTAAATTCCTTAGCTTGCTTTTTGAGATCTTCCATTATCGGGCCTAGAACACTCACCAGTCTCATCTCCACCACTGCTACCTGCTGCAGACAAATCAATTCCAACTCATAGTGACCCTGAAGAACAAAGAAGACCTGCCCCAAAGGGTTTCCAAGGCTGTAGTCTTTACATCTTTCTCCCAAAGAGTGGCTAGTGGGTTCAAACTCCAATCTTTTGGTTAGCAGACAGGTGCTTAACCCACTGCGCCACCAGGGCTCCTCTCACCACTATTAACCAACTTCCTCAAACATATCAGAGCTTTCACACTTCTATTCCTTTGCACATGCTGTTCCCTCTGCCTAGAATGCCAATTTTCTTATTCTCTCAAGCTGTGAATTTACTTATCCATCAAGGCTTTATTCAACTGTCAGTTCTTCCATGAAGCCCTTTGGAAATGTTCTCACCTCCAAGAAATTAGTTGTGTCCTCTTTCATGCTCCCAAGACAATGGGTATATTCCCAAGGTGATCACGTTTATTTTTACTATGTTGTAATTACTTGTTTACAGGTATATCTTCCCCAGGAGCCAGAATGTTCCTCAACAATTGGGCCTGATTTTGTCACCCTTGCATTCCAACAAGTCCCTAGTATAGTATCTGATTCACAGTAGATCTGATAAATATTTGAAGTAATCAAGTTTGCACAGCAATATATACCTTGCCTTGAAGGAATTCATAGTAAGGAAAATAAGTCATGGACGTGATACATGGTACAAAAGTTAAGGATACAAGAGAGGAATGAGAATTCAACAACAAGATATTGCTTCCAAGTTGAGGGTGAAAGGAGCAGAGCAAATGTTTTGTGAAGAAGGAGCATCTGAAACTAGCTCATAAATGTTTATAATGGATTAAATGTAAGAAACTCAAAAGCATTCACAATTAGAAGGCTGCTGGATATGTATCTTACACATGTGCAAATGCTTCCTACAGAAAAGAAAACCTAAAAAATCATAAGATGGAGCAAAACTGAAAGGGTAGAGATGCCCTGTCCTTTAGTCTGAGGCTGCTCTCTCAGTAGTCTCCTGCAGGGAATTCCAGCAATTTTCTTTTTCATTCATAAAGAATAAGAATCCAAATCCTGCCTCTAAGACAATATTTAGTCATCATTTAATGTATCAGAAATTTCTTCTTCAAAATTATTCTTGAAATTTGGAGTGCAGCCTTGTATTATAATAATTTCTGTCTGTGTTATACCATCCCCTGCTAAATTATAAGCTCTTAGAACAGCAAAAGAAGGCCAAAGCCACCAGAAGAAAGGAAACAATAAAGATCAGAGCAGAAATAAGTGAAATAGAGAATAGAAAGAATCAACAAAACCAAAAGTTGGTTCTTTGAAAGGATCAACAAAAACGACAAACCACTGGCCAAATTGACAAAAGAAAAACAGGAGAGGACGCAAATAACCCAAATAAGAAATGAAATGGAGGACACTACAACAGACCCAAATGAAGTAAGAAGGATCACAACAGAGTACTATGAAAAACTATACTCCAACAAATTTGAAAACCTAGACGAAATGGATAAATTTCTAGAAACACACTACCTACCAAAACTAACATAAACCAATGTTGAAAATCTGAACAGACCCATAACAAGAGAAGAGATTGAAAAGGTAATAAAAAAAACTCCCAGTCAAAAAAAGCCGCAGCCCAGATGGCTTCACTGGAGAATTCTAACAAATATCCAGAGAAGAGCTTACACCAGTACTACTCAAACTATTTCAGAACATAGAAAAGGAAGGGATAATTTGGAATTCATTCTAAGAAACCAGCGCAACTCTTATACCAAAACCAGGCTAAGACACTACAAAAAAAGAAAATTACAGACCAATATCTCTCATGAATATAGATGCAAAAATTCTCAACAAAATTCTAGCTGATTAGCTGATAGACTTCAGCACCATATCAAAAATAATAATAATATGCCACAACCAAGTAGGATTCACACCAGGAATGCAAAGATGATTCATCATTAGAAAATCAATCAACATAATCCACCACATATAAAATAAAAGAATCATATGATCATCTCAATTGACGCAGAAAAGGCATTTGACAAAGTCCACCCATTCTTGATAAAAACTCTCAATAAAATAGGTGTGGAAAGGAAATTCCTTGACATAATAAAGGGTACCTGTACAAAAACAGACAGCTTGAGAAGTATTAGAACGACATGGGCAAAGAACTGGAAACAGAAAACCATAAAAGAAGATCACACTTGGCATTTCTCAAGCTGAAAGAACTGAAGAAAAAATTCAAGCCTCGAGTTGCAATACTGAAGGATTCTTCAGGGAAAATATTAAACGACACAGGAAGCATTGAAAGAAGATGGAAGGAATACACAGAGTCACTATACTAAAAAGAATTGGTTGACATTCAACCATTTCAGGAGGTAGCATATGATCAGGAACCGATGGTAGTGAAGGAAGAAGTCCAAGCTGCACTGAAGGCAGTGGTGAAAAACAAGTCTCCAGGAATTGATGGAATACCAATTCAGACGTCCCAACACATGGATGCAGCACTGGAAGTGCTCACTCCTCAACGCCAAGAAATTTGGAAAACAGCTACCTAGCCAACCGACTGGAAGAGATCCACATTTATGCCTATTCCAAAGAAAGGAGATCCAACTGAACGCGGAAATTATCGAACAATATCATTAATATTACACACAAATAAAATTTTACTGAAGATTCTTCAAAAGCGGCCGCAGCAGTACATCAACAGGAAACTGCCAGAAATTCAAGCCAGATTCAGAGGAGGACATGGAACCAGGAATATCACTGCTGATGTCAGATGGATCCTGGCTGAAAGCAGAGAATACTAGGAAGATGTTTACCTTTGTTTTATTGACTACGCAAAGGCATTCGACAGTGTGGATCATAACAAATTATGGATAACATGGCAAAGGATGTGAATTCCAGAACACTTAATTGCGCTCATCAGGAACCTGTACATAGATCAAGAGACAGTCATTCAAACAGAACAAGGGGATATTACATGGTTTAAAGTCAGGAAAAGTGTATGTCAGGGCTGTATCCTTTCACCGTATCTATTCAATCTGTATGCTGAGCAAATAATCCGAGAAGCTGGACTATACAGAGAAGAATATGGCATCAGGACTGGAGGAAGACTCATTAACAACCTGTGAAATGCAGATGACACAACCTTGCTTGCTGAAAGTGAAGAGGACTTGAACCACTTATGGACAAAGATCAAAGACCACAGCCTTCAATACAGATTACATCTCAACAAAAATCCTCACAACTGGACCAATAAGCAACATGATGGTAAACGGAGAAAAGACTGAAGGTGTCAAGGATTTCATTTTACTTGGATCGACAATCAACATCCATGGAAGCAGTAGTCAAGAAATCAAACAAGCATTGCACTGGGCAAATCTGCTGCCAAAGACCTCTTTAAAGTATTGAAAAGCAAAGATGTCACCTTGAAGACTAAGGTGCACCTGACCCAAGTCATTGTGTTTTCAATCGCCTCATATGCATGTGAAAGCTGAACAATGAATAAGGAAGACCAAAGAAGAATT